TGTGGAGTATATTTCCTTCCTTGAGAAGACGTTAAATAGTTTGAGACTGAAATTAAACAAAATACGTTCTGACATTTCCATCGAAAGCTACATGGTCACATCGAATTGAACGGATGACCTTCAGGCATGGCAGTTGTAAATTTAAACATCTGGGGATCCCACACACCATCTTATCCTGAGTCCTCTGCTACATTCAGGGGGAACAGAACTGTACGCAGCTTTACAGAGAAGGAGAGACCAAGACAAAAGAGGGAGGTTGTCACTGACTCTTTGTCTAATCCACCTCTTCATGTGTTCACATGTGTGTTTGGGGCCATTATAGTCCACTCCACATTTTTATACCCATTTATTCTCATGCACCAAAGGAGCAACACGGTACCGGGACATACTACCCATACATGGTCGTACATACTCATACCTCTATCACGTTTGCCTAGCATGCAAATTGGCCAATAACTCTTTGCCATCACTGTGTTATAAAGCAAGAATTCAAACTCCACTTTGAACTAGTTCAAACAGAAAAATACATATCATTTAAATAATAATGTCCTGTGACTGAGGTGCATTAAACATTTCAGCATCTACCAACGGGAGAAGGGGGTGAAACTTGGTGGAAGGGTTCCGCGTTGGCCGATGAAGCGCAGTGTAAATTAGGAGATAAAGGCATTATTGTTTGGCTTCAGTGAACTCTGAGACGAGGCATATGGCGATGAAGGAGGTGTCGGCGCTTTGAGGGGGCCGTGCTAGTTAGGATTTCCCTGCTTGATTTATTATTACCATGGTTATAATAATGGAAGTGATGTACTAAACCAAACTTTTGTTCACTACTTGGTGTGACGAGCTACTTTGTCCTCCTGTTTCATCCAACACATGACGGCATGTGTTCCTATGAGTGCTTGTATGTTTTTCTATGTGTGTGCAAATGTGTCCTGCAGGATCTGCATTTGTGTTGTTTACTGTGAGAACTGTGGCGGCGGAGTGCAGCGAATCGGATGACAGATAAGCTTGACAATAACCCTCCCTTCATCCTTTGTATCACACCAGTTTAATGCACTCAAATAATCTGACACAAACACATCAGACAACAACTCACACAGTTACACAGACAGACACACAAGCAGAATTCACATGAATTCACCAGAAGAACATGAAATTATACCATAAAAAGCTGCCTTGCGTAGCAAGTTGATTCTATCATGATACGATAGTACAATTTAGCTGTTCAAATGGTAATTGTTGATCAACATGAAGAAAGTGCTAACAAAGGGACAAATTCTCTTATTTTTCCAAATGATTGCTTCTGAACTATTTTAAACCTATAACAATAAATTAAAATGCATTAAAGCAAAAGAGTAAAATATGCTGTTGGACAGGGATTTGCATTATGGTTTGAGATGGAAGTAATGTATTAAACCGTAAATAAACTTTCTTTCATACAAAACTATGACAATATATGAATGATTTACAGATGAAGGCTCAATAACCTGCCGCCACAGTTTATATCCTGTGGGCAAGGTTAATCACTCATTAGAGAGTCGCATCATTTTCATGAGGTATCATTGGTTTTGATTTACAAAGTTAAACTTAATTAATTAATGGTGGATATTGCATCATATATATATCGTTGCCATCATGAAAGGTGATTTGTACGTGCTTGTAAATGTGTGTTTATCTTGTGTGTTCAAAGTGAATAGGCGTCACACACAGATGGTCACAGGGTCACATCCCTCTTGACTACAGGATGTCATAACTCACCTTGCAGTTACAGATCCTTGGGAGTGGAACACAGCTGAACGGAGCCTGTCAGAACAGAAATGCACGCACACACACACAAACACACACACACACACACGCACACACTCCACAGACGTGAACTCACCGCTTTCCTCTCCTACACGGTCACACAATTCCGCCACAGCACATGAAACCCGCCTGCACGCCCAATTTCTCACATTGTGATACACAAATATGCATAGTCACACACACACACACTTGAGTTGTGTGTTCACACACACCTACACACACACTTGAGTTGTGTGTTCACACACACACACACACACACACGGTGGGTGAGCTCATTAAGAGATTCCCAGAGGGTTGCCAAGACAGGCGGCTACTGTGGGAACCTGGAGGAATCTGCCCGTCTGACCCGAACAGACACATTGAAGACATGCGCAAAATTAAACAATAGATTAGTGACATGTCGTGTGTTGCTTTCTTTTGGCAAAATATTGTACATTTACACAGAATGAATTGGATCATTAACAGCTAATTCCATAGTCTGACTTTGTTCCAACTCCAACAGATCTAAATAATTAGTATAGTTATGCATGTAAATATGACATCGTGTCCAACACACACGAAAACGAAAGTTTTATTTCATGTTTATGCTCATTGTTATGAAATTATTATTATCATTATCCAGACTATTATGGAAGTCGGCCTCACTGCTAGTGTTTTGGTTCAATCTGTGAAAAGAAAAGGAGAACATTTGAATGAAACCTTGCATTAACAGGTTAACAGGAAAAGGACACATCTACTGTAAATATGGTCCTTTGTTTGTTTTACCTTGTGATTAGCAGGTGTACGTACTAGGTGTTAAGTACTAACTGAAGTAAGAAATGTTTCTTGTTCAACATAAACAGATGCTACATCCGTTGTGAAAAACATATACACTGTTTCTGTCTGAGCCCATATTTATAAGCTGAAATCATATTAGTTAAAACAGTGGAATTCACAAAAAAAGTAAGGGCGAAGACGTTATCAGGGGACTAGATGGAAAAGACAAAACAAGAACTATGAAGAGAAATAAAAAAGAAAAGGGGGAGATCTTCGCTCTCTTCACTTATGACTTGTGCTGTCTGGGCTGTGAGCTGTGGAGCACATCTCACATCACGTGTCTGCACACAGGAGAAAATAAATCTGCGTTTTAAAAGGCACGACATGATTTCTAATTTGAACTTTTAACCTCAGAGTTGCATTATACATTTTTTTTTCTCAATTATCACTTTTTCAGTCACATACAAGACAATTTTCTACACCCACACTTGATGAGTCATTTCTCTCCAGAACAAAACTGAGGTTGAAGAATTTTCGCACTTAAATGACTTGATAAGCCATGAATGAATACAAGGGACTCAGAGATGAATAAAAAAGGAATTATTAACCATAGGAAATAAAAAAAGCAATAAGTGATGACTAAGTAACTGACTGACTGCACCATTTCTGTCTACAAAAGTCCTTAATTTCAGTTAAACTGCTTCTGTCGTATTTCCCCAATAAGAAAAGTCAGCTCTCATTTTGTAAGTGAAAATATTTCATTCCCAATTGCTACCATTTCTTACTCCTTTTTACCTCTTCTCCTTTCTTTTAATATACTTCATCTCTTATCAGTGCCGGGGATTAAATCAGTGCCTTTTGATAGAGTGATTGGCGTTTCAGCCTTGAGGCCGGCCTGCCGCCCCCTCGCACACAGACGCACGCTATGCGGGGAAGGTTACTCGACGGCGGCCTGTTTCTATTCACCGTGAAGCCTCTCAAGGGAAGGCAAGACTAATGCCAGATCATTCAAGCAGACACGCGCACAGGAGAAAATACAGTATCTAAAATAGTTTATCCGCTACGGAATCTGCACCGATCCACTGGATAATACTGCAAACCTTCTGCTAAAAGCTGTATTCATAGCACTGAGTCATGGCAGGGCCCTGCTGTCTGTTTTTACCATTGACGTCAATAATTGTGTTCGTTTCTGAAATGATTGTTCTTGTTGATTTCCAGAAATGTTCCATCCTATTACGGCCTTGGCAGGCTGCCGTTGCGACGTAAGGAGGCAGATTAAATATGTGTGTGTGTGTGTGTGTGTGTGTGTGTGTGTGTGTGTGTGTGTGCAATGCGAGGCCAGCCACACATCTGTGCCCACCAGCGATCTTTATGTGTACTTAGAAATTCACTCCCCGGGTGAATTATGCCTTTGAAGCTCAGGAGGGTGGTCTAATATCTTTTAATTTTAATTCATTTCCCCTCTCTATTAATAACCTATATCATTCCCTAAGTGGTTGTAAATTTTAAAGGTGCTGCATTACTCATTAGCCAATTGCTTGCTAATGGGGAGGCATTGTGCTGAGTCAGCAGAAACTTTAAGTTGGCAAGTGAATATCATTAAGTCAAAATAACTCTAAATGGGGAATGAGGTGTTACGTGTGTGTGAAAAAGTGGCCTGAAAAGAAATGTGGACGTTGAATACACTTTATAACTCTTATGAGGGTACAAGTGTTGAGGCCAGTGTAGCGCATGTAGCACCTTGACATTTACTGCGAGGGCTTTTTGAACTCTGGAACATACTCGGTAAAATACTGAAATACTCAGCCCTTGGCTTACACAAAGCTTTCTATTGAATCATTTCTGGCATTTCATTAACCGGCTCTGCCCCTTAAAATCCTCAGCAAGTGCAACCATGTCAACTGTGTCGCGTTGCAGGAGCTTAATTTAAACAGATAATAATCTGAATAACATAATACCACAGAGCCAGGCAACACGATGATTATATAGGCTATTTAAAATCCCCAAAACGTGTAAGTCTATGAAAAAGGACAGTCAAGATTATTAAAAAAAAAATTATAGCCCTAATTGATGGTACGCTATGGCCTTCTTTCTGTCGCCAGAATCACAGTTATGTCATGTCAGCTGTTTCTTTGGCTCACTGTGTGATGCCTACCAGGGAAGATCTTACTCCAGACAGAGAGAGAGAGACCTCCTCCCTGTTGAGCTGATGACTGCACTCTCCTCTGAGGGTTTCCTTTAGAAAGATGTCGGCCTCGATCCACTTTGAGGACGAAAGTCCATCAACATGAGCGTCAGGTATATTAATGAGAGATAGATAGGTAGGCAGGCAGGCAGGCAGGCAGGCAGGCAGGCAGGCAGACAGACAGACAGACAGACAGACAGACAGGTAGATAGATAGATATACAGGTAGGTAGATACATAGTTGGGCAGGTAGATTTTTGCACCCCACCAAAGTCTCTCTTAAATTGTCTTTTTCCTCCTCTTCCCTGACACGCACACGGGCACACGCAGACACACATGAGCGCGCAAACAGCGCGCGCCACTAAATGTTTTTGAGGCGCCAACTTTTCGTAGCGCACAAACCAGTAAACTATGCGGGATATTTCTGAGCGAGCGGACAATCATTCGTTTGCCTCGCGGTGATAAGAGGCGCGGCGCCTGTAAGCTCACGTCTGACCGTGAAAGCAGCACTTTCAACGTGACTCCTTTTCACCTGCGCTTAATTGCGTCGGAGTTTTTTTTAAACTTTTTGCTCCCGGTGGTCCGCGTACGTAACTTTCAGACGAGGACAAATATTTGGAATTTTGGGGGCATTTTGGCACCAGGCGGGACATCGCGCGCGCCGGGCGTCCGACGCAGAAGTCAACAAGTGGCTCTCGTGCGGCGGGAGAAGAGGTGCTATAAAAAGCGCGTGCGGGTCGCCGAATGGGAAGCCGTGTTTGTACCGAGGACCGTTTCGACTGGAGCGCATTTAATTGAAGCCACTGGAAGGAGAACGGGACAAGTTCGTAAGTTTGCACCGGTGTGTTGTTACTCACCATGAGGTCACCGGCGGTTTTCCAGACGTGGACGGTTTTATTGTTGGGGATTTTAACCGGGGCCGTGAGTGCTGAGGTCCCCACCTTCAAAGTGCTGAGGGGCAACACCAGGAGGGACGGTGAGTCTTCTTTCTGCTCTCTTTTCCTCTGTGCTCAGTGTGTCTGGTTGTAGTGATCATGATGTGAAGGTAAAAAAAATACTTAATCAGCCTGTAGCTAATAGTCTTAACTTGACCCATTGAAAATTGCTGGTCTTTATTATTATTATTTTTGTTTAGATCAGGAAATTATATATTATATTGGATATTTGGGATTTTTTGTATGTATAATCTTTCTCAGCTGAACTCCTGTATTTGATAGATCAATGGTATATTGACATATTTAAATTTAAAACTCTTTCTATCTGCCTTGTGGTCACTTGTTTGTTCGTGTGACACTTGACTTGTTGTGTAACTAGTTGTTGGGTCAGAAGGAAAGAGAAAGAAAAGTAAAATGATGTACAGTACAAACAAAAGAGAAAGTGTGACAAACTGCCCCTAATTGTTAGTCAGATTAGTTCATGTCTGTCCCAGACAACACTGTGCTAGTCAACAAATGAATTATATAAATTCTGCTGTATTGTAACCTTGGTGTCTCACTCCTGTGTGTATGTGTGTTTGTGTTATTAACATAGTAATAACATGGTTATGGCAAGTCATGGATTTAACTAAAGATTAGAAATGGCATCGTAGACACCGTAGCAACTGGTGAGCTGCACTGTGAGACAAAGCCGGCTAACAGAAGAGTGATGACAAGGAAACCGCTTATCGCCAAAAATATAAGTTGACACTGTCAGGAGATGACAGCTGCACCAACAATGTGGTGGAGAATTTGGTCTGTTCTGTCACAGGGGGGGAAAAAGTGCGGAGCAGGAAATGACAAAACTCCAACATGCTTTTATGCTTCTTTGCATTTTTTATTACTTGTTCCAACAGGATTTAATCAAATCTGCATCTCAGTTGTTGCTACTAAATAAACAGTGTACGTACCTTTTTGAGGCGAAAAAAGTCAAACTTCTTTTGTTTAGTGGTCAGCAGTGATTTAAACCCCCCAATAGGCCTCTCATATATTTATTTTAAACACATACTTAAGCCTGATTAATTTGCTGGAATTTAAATTGCAAGAAAATAGACTACCTGATTGACATTTCCCTTTGCTGTCTACACTTGCCGTTACAAAACACACATAATTGGTGTAACACACTGCGAAGGCCTCTAATATTTCAGAGGAGAGTTGTTGTCTGTAAAACAATGTGAGTGTTTAATCATTTACCGTAGTGTGACGGACGCCATGGCGTGACTGTTTTTGATCACTGCCACTCTCTGAAGATGTTCTTGATGGAGTTGCCAGAGAATGTGTCCCTGTGTTTACTTTTGTACGCGTGTGTGTGCGTGTGTGTGTGTGTGTGTGCGTGTGTGTGTGTATATCTAAATGCTGCGATGGAATGTAATAGCTCATTTTCAGGAATTTCCCCTCTAGGTTTTTTTCTCCTGTATTTGTTCAGGGTTCGTTGCTTTGGCCTCACATTGAAGCGTGTTTGTGTGCGTATTGAGGAAAGGGGACCTGAGTGTACTTATAGAAAACTAAACTCACAAAACAGCTGTAAACACACAATTTTGCATTTCTGACCCGACAACATACTTCTGATGAAGAGACCAAGTTTTCCAAATAGGATAAAAACTATTATACATCATGTGTGTGTGTGTATAAGCAGCACTTGTATGCAGAGGGAACCAGGGAGTACAGTATTATCAATCTACTTTTAAGTGTGAGATGCTCCTGTTTTTCTATTTTCAATAGTTGGTCTCTGAAAGTTGAATGTTTGGCCCCAGCTGGACATTTGGGACCTTCTAGTCCTTCGTTTTGCCGGAGCTTTCTGGATTGTAACGTTCTGTTAATTCTATTTTCAGGTGTTCGTCTATAGTTGAAATTAGGGATGCCTGTATCTGTGTTCACTCTGTTCTGAAGTCTACGTCACTAATTGAAAAGCTACAATATTCTATTCAGACTCCCTTTTCATGTTGCACGTCGACATATTGACCGGAAGTGTTTAACTGCATGGCCCACCTGGACTATTGCATAACTAACTTAAGGACGAAATAGCTATGCAACACTATTTTCTAACACACACGCTTTACCTTTATCTTAAGTGACAGTTTAACTCAAAAGTATGAAACAATTGAGATGCTGCTTAAAGAAGATGGCCACGCTTTTAGTCAGTGGAATTGTTACTGCAACACACAGTATCTGTATCATGCGGCCATTAAGGCCACTCAACAGATAATATAACTGCCACTCAGGGAAAGTAGCACAATACTTTCTAAAGGCTCCTGGCGTCCTTCTGGTCCTTCCTCTGCTTTCCCAAAAATAGGTCTTCTCTTATCTTCTGCCTTCGTCTGTCAGTGCTGTCTTATCAGTCTCTGCCTGGCTACATATCACTCCATCTCTCCAGACCCTCCTCTTTCAATCTCCCTTTCTCATGTCTCCCCTTATCTCCCCCATCTTTCATTTTTAATCAAAAGCCTTTTCACCCTGTCGCCTCCGTGAGCAAATATAATGCGGCAAACAGTTCCACGGGGACGCACACCAGCACACTTACACAGCACACAAACCACCTGCGGGGGGGTAATACCTTTGTAGACACTTGAACGTACATCGCAGATACATTTTAAAGATGGACATCCAAGCCGGGGTCAGCCCCCCCCTTAAAAAAAGGAACAGGTTATTTACTAATATGCACATATGCAGTGGGAGTGCTGACATGTGTCCTTACGCTGAGTTGAGCGAGGCGTAGGCGCCACAGGTGAGTGTGATGTCGTGCTCCATTTACTGTGTCTGACAGCTTACGGTGGCGTTGCCTCTGACGACAATTTCTCACAAAACACACATTATCGAATGAAGCTGGAGCAAAAGAGACAAAAGTCTCTTTGACACTGCAGTGGAGGTTATACGCCCGGCTTTAAGAGCAGAGAGGTGTATCTGACATCCATCTCACTCGTGTCATTTTTGCGTGGCCTCGGGGCCATACTGTGCTATAATGATAGTAAAGCACCAAGGAAAATCCGTATTCAGAACATTTGTATTGTGCAGCAGCTCATCGGCAGTGAGGTTAAGTAGCTTGTTGGCATCCGACAGTATGATACATAGATTTTACAGCTCCACCATAACGTCTTCGGGTAACCTCTTGGCGTAATGGAGTGGGGACATGATGTCATCAGTCTGCAGCAGTGTGAGTGTAATTACAGTACTCAAACCTGCCCTGTCCTCCTATCAGGTGGTGTGTATCATGTTTATCCGAAATGTTCAATAAGGCCTTTTGCATAGAAATACTTGCAGAAAAAGGATGCAAATGAGTGACTCCTGCCTTCCCCTCAGATCGTGCTGTCACTTCACTTCCCTCTCTGAGGAGGTATGCCACCTTATCGAGGCGAAGTGGAATTCGGCGCAGGGCCGAGGGCCATTTAGTCAACCAGCTAAGCTGAGCCAATTTGCATCGTTTAAAAAACATTATTTCAAAAGAGTGTAAAACACATAGATTTAACCGCAGCGTGAGTGGATGGCCATGAACCCGGCTGCTGCATCCTGCAAAATCCAGATTGATCCAACTAGTCGCCAAATGGGTGTTAATAGCAGTTTTGTGTCACCATATTAAACACGGGGGGGGGCAGCAAGGCGGACTGTCACTAAGGTCATTGGAACTCATGAGTCATTCTCCAGACAAGCGGCATGGAAGTACTCCCCTCCATCCCCCCCTCCCAACCCCCCGCCCACCCAGGCTGACACAATTACAGGACCTCCCTTTTCAGGGGAACCCCCACCAATAAACACTTAACTCGCACGCACAAACACTTTTCATGTGAGGAAATGCATGAGCTAAAGTAGTTCCACCCCTAAACATTTGCCAGACATCTTTTTCCGCCCCTGCAGGGTGGAGGAGAGGAAATAGGGTGGTGACCACTTGGACGGAGCAGCACAGGCTGAAGTGTGTGCAGCTGTACGCTGTGTAATGGAAATTGGGTTGTTAAAGGTTTATGTGCCTGATTCCTTATGCAGCCCCCTGCTGTGGATAATGTGATTTAGCCTACTTCTGTTTTTTTGGGGGGGGGGCTGGTACATGGATGTGTTTCATGGCATATTTGTAGGGTTTTTGAAGGGTTTTCTTTGCACTTCAACCGGAAACATTGTGGGATTTGTCGGGAAGGGGTGTTAAAGAAAGTAAGCAAATTAATGGGAAACTGTTGAGTTTGCACACTTTATTACTTCGCGCTCATCACTCTGGACCGCGGCTTTTCAAGTCCCGTGACATGCTGGTGAGAGAGGGCAGGAGGAGAGACCTGGAAGTTTAGAAGGGAAGCTTAGAAGAGTTAGAGGGCACAGAATAGGAGAAGAGGACGAGGTGTGTTGAGAGAGATACGGCCAAGTTGAAAGACCCCGTCCCTCCACTTTTCTGCCCCGTCAGCTTCAAAGGGGAGATAGTAATACCAACGGCAAGCCAAATGGACGGAGAATAAAAGGAGGGAAGCAGGGCTGGAAGGGGGCAGGGTGAGATAAGGTATTTCTGAAAGGGGGGGGAGCAGTCAGAGTATAGTGCAGAACATCAGTCCGTTATGTCATCGCAGGATCTGATCAAAACTCAAATCATGAAGGAAAGGAACGCACGACAAGCTTTAATAAACACGCAGACATGCAAACATGCGGACAGACCTTGCTCCCCGTACTTGGAGGGTTGGGTTGCATTCATGCACACTCACTGAAGTGGAAACACAATTCAGCTTCTTCACCTCGTGACACAAATGTTATTGTTTAAAAGAACAAATCATTCGTCAAGATGACCCAAATACACAGAAGCCAGCAGTCATTTCACACTGAAGTGAGTTCAGGTCACATGTAGCAAGTTCTCTCCTTTTAGGATTAAGGCCGTTTTAATGCGAGCTGCGGATAGACAGACCTGACATGTGGACTGTTACTGTTTACCTACTTCACATCACAAAGTGTTGCTTTAACTGACCACTCTGTTATTTGTTAATGCATGATTCTCGGCAGAAATCTTTTGCCGCGGATGTTTATAGTCTTTCTTTGG